ATGCTCTTCTAAAGCCTAAACTGAGAACTTTTTAAAGGGCCGGGTTAACAATAACCATGTTTTTCTTACCATATATCGAACTTAATAGTTTTGCAGTATTTTTGATTGGTTGCCATAGAGATTGTAAAATATTGTGTTACATATATATATATACGAAGAAATTAATTAATTAATATCTTTAGTGCACATTGATGTAGAGAAAACATTTTAATAGTAGAAATAAACGACCTTATAACGCCAAATTGTTTTTCTTTTGGGAACGTTCCACTAAAACACAAACCGTATCTTACAGTAAAAAAAGCTTCAAATGGAGTATATCCTTCTATGGTGTTGTCTTCGTGCGTCTCCAATAATATCTTTATACGTGTTTGATCAAAGGAAATATAGAGGGATTTGACCACAGTAACGTATGAAGAAGGCATTTCTTGCGACCATTGCGCGAAATTCTACTCAAGTTTGAACCAACATATCTGTTTGTTTGGTTTGTTGAATTTTGCGTAAAGCTACTGGAGAGCTATCCGCACTAGCCGTCTTATAAGTGATACACTAGAGGTTTATTTGTTTGTTTGTAATTAAGCACAAAGCTACACAAAGGGCTATCTGTGCTCTGCCAACCACGGGTATCGAAACCCGGATTCTAGCGTTGTAAGTCCGCAGACATACCGCTGTGCCACTGGGGAGGGCAAACAGTATAGAAAGGGTGTTTATAGGGTGTACACGGGATGAATGCCATTTAACAATATGATGATCTTACTATAATGAACGTAGCGTGTATGTCAGTATCTATGTATGTGACCAAAACTCCTGCGCCATCTATTGAATGGCACCACAAAAAATATCCATACAAAGTTTACACTTTCAGTATTCAAGATTCAGACAATTCTAAAAATAACTGTGGTATGTGTAACAACCATTTCTTTATAACAGAATACAATTTAAATAAAAGTACTCTACTGACAACAAGAACACGACTTTCACTAGGACTGTACGTGATGGTTTGATCATATCTTTATTGATGTAATTTTTAAATGTGATACTGAGAAACTGGAGTTCTTAGAAACTATTATTTTTTTCTATAAAAACATTACAGCTTATATCAGTAAAATTTATGAAAATTTTGAGCTCCGTATATTGAATCATTTTAATGCAATGAGTTGCGTATGACTAAAGAATACACACATTCTAGTAATAATAGCGTTTAGCATTGAGTTAATATAGAAAGAGTGTTTAGAAGGTGTACACGGGATAAATACTATTTAATAACACAGAAAGAGGTATAATACGGCGTATAAATTTAATAATATAGAGGGTTTTGTTTGTTTGAATTTCGCGCAAAGCTACACGAGGGTTATATGCGCTAGTCGTCCCTAATTTAGCTGTGTAAGACTAGAGGGAAGGCAGCTAGTCATCACCACCAACTCTTGGGCTACTCTTTTACCAACGAATAGTGGGAATGAACGTCACATTATAGCACCCCCACGGCTGAAAGGGCGAGCATGTTTGGTGGGACGGGGATTCGAATCCGCGACCCTCAGATTACGAGTCGAGCACCCTAACCACTTGTCCATGCCGGGCCCCGAGTGAAGGCAATGTACGATACGAAAAACGCGATTTTTTCGTGTTTTTTTTTTTTTTTTAGGGCGCATCCAATGCTTAATCATCTTACCAACAAACTATAAAGTGCAAAACAGCACGTGATTTTTCTGTTTCTCCCTCTACACCTTGAATCCAACACAAATATTGAATAAACTAATATCTAAAAGATTTTAGTTTTTAAATATTCTAAAGTCTACGTATATTGCATGATTATCCAGAAATACGATAAAACTACACTGAAACTGTCGCTGAAAATTCATTTTTAATTGGAAATTGTAACCTCTTGATAACAGAATGTGAAGAGAGCGGTGCATGATAAAAGTAGTGGCGTGTTTATTTTATTCGTGCCACTGTTGTCCAAATACACTATTGATGACTTCTAACACTAATTAGAATTTTCGGTCGTGTTAACAAGAGCAGACGATCTTCATAACTACAGAGAGGTTGTGATTCACGTGACAGTATATATTAATAATAAAAGCTCTGCGACTAGGCCTGTCAATATCTCATTAGCCATCCTTAAGTTTTATTTACAGATAGCCAGACACAAGTTTACATAGACAGATAGACAGACAAATAGACAGAGAAACGCACTGTCAGATAGCTAGAAAGAAACACAGGTATAGACAGAAAGATGGTGCTAAACAGTAAGAGAGACGGACAACAAGATAGACAGAAAAAACTATAGTTATTTTTAGATGTATATAGAAAGACAGAAAGATAAATAATGATAATAATGGATAGGAAGACAGACAGATAGGTAATGATAATGATGGATAGAAAGGCAGACAGATAAATAATGATAATGTTGGATAGTCAGACAGACAGATAGATAATGATAATGATGGATAGAAAGATAGACAGATAGATAATGATGATGGATAGTGAGACAGACAGACAGATAATGATGGATAGACAGACAGATAGATAATGATGGATAGACAGACAGATAGATAATGGTAGTGAGACAGACAGTTAGATAAAGAAAATGGTGGCTAGAAAGACAGACAGATAGATAATGATGGCTTGAAATATAGACAGCTAGATAACGAAAATGATGACTAGAAAGACAGACAGACATCTAGAGGGCGACAGATAGCTTATTGTTATGCTATTAGAAAGATTATCAGGTGATATATATGTTTGTTTATTGTTGCTAAGTGCAAAGCAACACAATCGACTATCTGTGCTGTGCCCAACACGGCTCTCGAGACCAGGATTTTCGGACGTACCACTGAGTTACTCGGAAGCGTGATTGAGTAAGTATGTATTAGAAAAAGTGTAATTTTTCATCAGTTTTATTTTTGTCACAATTATGGTAATGAATCTTCAACACTGTATTATCTATTAATATTATATTGTATTATCTATTGATATTATATATTTACTTTTATTTTGCTTCGAGTTAACCTGCTAATTATTCAAAAACAAGAACCAACGAACTAGAAATATATATATAGATGTCAATGTCTCTATGTGTAAAAAGAAATCTGTCAATGTCTCTATGTGTAAAAAAGTACAGAGTTACTAAAGTTAAAAAAGAATCATAGCTGACATGCCCAGGAACGTAGCGTGATTGGTCAAAATTTAAAAATACAAACGTTACATCTAGGAGACATAAGACGTGTTCTATTTTTCGAGCATTTCACGCAATGCATCTTAAAACTCCCTCTTTGAACTAAAAGAATAGAGGGAAGGCAGCTAGTCAACAGCACCCACCGCCAACTCTTACTTAATCTAGTTCACACCCTAACAGTTGTTGTTCATGAAAGTTGATGATATAAGTAGTGCGTAGACCAATACGATATCCGTCGTATCCTAACCGGCCTGATGAACTCTGGTATTAGGCGAAAGGCGTCGTCGGCACTGGATATAGCAGATGCAGTGTGGTTGACATATTATAACATATTCTTTGTTTTCACTTGTATGTTCTTAGAATTACCGTTAAGCAATAGTCTTCACAAAGTTTTTAATATTTTAAATTGTAGATATTAAAATTAAGTTAATTAATGTAATTTAGTGTGTTACCGCTAGATGACGGCACAAATCATTAATATAGAGATTTCTTTGTAACAATTGGAAAATTACCCGAGATCATTGAATTTATTTAGCATCATTGACGTAGGGTGATGTATCCATGATGTTGGGTAACGTATCCAAACTATAAAGTATGAATAGTAATAAAAATTAATAACAGTTGTAAATCTGGTTTGAATTTCGCACAAAGCTGCACGAGGGCTATCTGCGCTAGCCGTGCCTAATTTAGCAGTGAAAGACTAGAGGGAAGGCATGTAGTCATATCCGCCAACTCTCGGGCTACTCTTTTACCAACGGACAGTGGGATTGATCGTTAAGTTATAACGCCCCCACGGCTGAAAGGGCGAGCATGTTGGGTGGGATGGGGATTCGAACCCGCAGATTGCGAGTCGAGCTTCTTAACCACCTAGCCATGCCAGGTTTGGATATTTAAGTTAAAGCCATGAGTTCAAGTTTTTTTTTTATTATTATTATTAAAACGGTGATTAGCTTGCTGCGTGTTTCGGAGTATTAAACAATTCTGAGTCGTCAGGTACGTGAATCGATCACGTGTCTGTTGATAATAACAATAACGATGATTATTCACAGCTGATACAGTGCCCACGTCCCTTTGTCAATCAACACGCACGCTCACTACCAGACAGAGCGGGAAACATTTGAGGCTGAACTTGGGCTTACGGGGCTGCCGTATAACAGTTCCAAGCTGTTAATTCTCAGCCGCACGTTTTCTCTAAAGCGAATCCTTCAAGAAGGTTTCACCCACAATGTCGGATAATACAGTTATGGACATTAGATTTTAACGAGCAAGGCTTGAATGGTGACGAACAAGTGGGAAGTAGTAAGCCAACAAGATCTCTCGTCTAATGGCCAGGCTATGTAATCAAGGTTCACTACACTTAACAACGTTGACATGGATGGCACCTAGTGTCATAGCATGCTATTTTTTTTAAAACGCATGATTAGCCAGCTGTTGTAGTTAGTGCTACGTGTGACGTTCGTCTACGTTACGCGCTTAATCCACCATACCTGTGAAATGTGTCACTTCTGGTACAATGTATTACTAGCTTACGAGCACAGCACTGGGGTTCGTTTTTTTTTTTTTTTTTTGTTTGTTGATTGGTTGTTAAGAACAAAGCTACACAATAGGCTATCTATGCTGTGCTCGTCACGGGTATCAAAACCAGATTTTCAGCGTTATAAGTCCTTAGACTTGCCACTAAGTCACTGGGGGTGGGGGGTGGCACTAAGATTCCACATTAATAAAAAAAAGTGTATAAACTACCGTGTTTATGTGTGCCTACTGAAAATTTTGTTTTAAGCCAAAAAATCCCCCCAAACAAATACACACCACTGGGGACTTCCATTACTCCATTGGTGTCTTCCATTGCTCCATTCGGGTCTTCCATTACTCCACTGGGTCCTCCATTGCTCCATTGGGGTCTTCAATTGCTCCATTGGGTCTTCCATTGCTCCATTGGGGTCTTCCATTGGGTCATCCATTGCTCCACTGGGGCTTCCATTGCTTCATTGGGGGTCTTCCATTGCTCCATTGGGATCTTCCATTACTCCATTGGGTCTTCCATTGCTCCATTGGGGTCTTCCATTGCTCCACTGGGGCTTCCATTGCCCCATTGGGGTCTTCCATTGCTCCACTGGGGCTTCCATTGCCCCATTGGGGTCTTCCATTGCTCCATTGGGTCTTCCATTGCTGAAACTTGATTTTAGAAGTTTTTATATTTTTTAAACACATGTGTGTTCTGCATGTTTATAATGGATACCATAAACATGCCTATCAGATAAGCGAAAACCGATTTTCACAAATAAAACCACATAGATGTTCGATTTCATTTTCATCCTACTTACTATTTCAGTCTTAATGTGATTTATGATTCGTGTTTTCCTCGAGTGATGTTTCAGAACATTTTATTTAAACTAGTTTTCTAACTGGTCGCCTCACAGACAGACAGACAGATAAAATCTGCTTCATAGAAGATACTGGAGATTCAGAACTGCAGTTACAAGTTCGCGTCATCATCGCTTAAATTGATAATGCAGAATGACTGTTTATTTCGAGCCAAGTAAGAGATTTCTAATAACATCTCCTGATAGTTTGCAGAAGTGTATAAACAGAGACCCTTTTACTGGGAGAATAATGCATTTTCACGTTTAGTATTCATCCGCGAACAATTAACATCAACATAACTAGATGTACTTCCGCGAAAGTATTCTGTTTCAAGTGAAAATAAATCCAAAGTAAAGAGTAACAAATATATTCTTATTTCTCGCTTTTCAAGTTCATATGTCATGCTGTGTTGTAGCCAACAAAGTGCATAATTCTTCTCGTGATTCATGGCATGCGCACGTTTGACTGACGTCACGACAATACAAATTGCAACGTTAAGCGTCCCTCACGTGACGGAATTTTGGTGTCTACTGACTGAATGACAGACAACACACTACCGAATAGTGGTGCGAGTGGTTAAAACAAGTGACCCTTCCAGGCAGCCTCCGACCCTCTTTCGGGGAAATTACTGTCCTTTCCCCTAAGAAATGGCGAATTGCGTGACTTGCGCATACCGATTTCTCGTAATTGTATGAGAAAACAAACAAATTATTCTTGAGTTTATTCTGATGAGAAGGAGAGAAAGTGTCATTTGTTTGAAGACTTGACAAACTGCGTCATCCCGCGGCATTTAGGCGCAAGATGATTTACCATCGTTCTCTCCAGACGTCTCGTGGGCTGCACCGTAGTTACGTCAGAACGCACGCGTTTCATGTGGCAAGGCTTGATATCACTTCTCGAGATAAGGAAATCAACCAATCACAGTGTCGCTAGCCTGCGTCTTCCCACAAGTGTCTGCTGGAAGTACTTCGCCGAATATTTAAATAACTGACATTATTGGAGAAAACTGAATTGGCATCTGCGACCTCTATGTTTAAGATGAAGAACTTAACTGCGACATTTTTACCAACAACGATACGTCTTTGTTTAAATGGTCTTTACATTTTTCTAAACTAACAATTCGAATAAAGATCAGGTGTTGTAGGTTGATCACGAAAACGGACTTTTGAATTGCTGACTTGAGACAGAAAGATGTTGCCTTCGTCAATTGGTACCTGTGTTACAGTGGAAAATAAAGCGTAACGTTTAAAACATGAGCAAATTGTTGTAACGTCTGAACACAACTGTGTCTAAACTAGAAGTGAAGGTTGGGCTGCATTGTATAGAAGGAGCATCAGAAATGTGTGGGACACTGTTATTGGTGGAGGGTTTCTGCATGCTTATTGCATGTGAGGACGCAGTAGAGCCCCCGTTGAATGTGGGATAGGTGGGAATTTCAAGGCTAATAGAGACTGAAAAAAATGTGTGCACATAGGGGGCAGCACTGAACGAGAGAAGCTATTATATAACTTTTGTTCCTTGAATACCGAGGGTCGCGGGTTCGAATCCATGTCCCACCAAACATGCTCGCCCTTTCAGCCGTGGGGTAGCTATAATGGTACAGTCAATCGCACTATTCGTGGTGACTACTAGCTGCCTTCCCTCTAGTCTTTCACTGCTAAATTAGGAACGACTAGCGGAAATAGCCCTCGTGTAGCTTTGCGCGAAGTTCAAAACAAACAAACAATCCTTGAATACCTTGTAGGCTTCCTTTGTATTCAAAACGTGGGAACAAAAACGACTTACAGACACAAAGTACTATCTACCACGTGTTACATATGAAGTGTTTTTCTGACTTAACTCCACACGTTTATATTTGTTTGTTCTTAAGTACAAAGCTGCACAATGGGCTATCTGGTGTTGTGACCCCCACAGGGATTGAGCTCCGAGTTATAGCTTACCGTTGAGCCATCAGGGGAGGCACATACTCACACTATCAGTAATGCATTCCATTTTTAAAAACTTGGAGAATTTATACCTGAGACGTCGTACAGTCTGCTAATAAACGTTGTTCAGAAGCTTGAATTTTTTGTATTGTTCATAATCTGGAACATTACGACTCGTGTTTCTGGTGCATATAACCACATCATTCATTAAGTAATTTACATATATCTGGTTCATTCTATTTATTCTATTGAAACAATTCTTTTTAACATAAATAGCTTAAACACTACCCGTCCTCGTTGGGACCTCTGTAAGTTTACAGACTTACAACGCTAAAATTCGGGGTTCGAGTCCACGCGGTGGAGACAGCAGATAGCCCAATGTAGCTTTACTTTAAATCCAACCAAAAACTAAAGGAAAGATTTCTGCCTTTTACATTGCTACTACCTAAAGTGTTAGCATTCAATAAAATTGTTTATTTGAGTATTACACGCAAAGCTAAACAAGAGTTATCGGGAATAGTAGCTCCTAATTTTGAACTGAGAGACTAGACGGAAAAAAAGCTAGTCAAAAGCACCCCCCCCGCCAATTCTTGTGATGCTCTTGCCCGACCATTATCCCTGTAGCACACTCAAGGCTCCAAAGTACAACAAGCATTTTTGCGTCAACGAGTTTCGAACCAACTGGTCACGCTAACGACCAGGCCAAGTCTGCCCCTTTCTGCATTTAATTATATATTTGTTATTCAATCATATTTTACATCAGCCTCCTTTTATCACGTGCTGATTCTTTAGTTCAGTTTCTAAGCCTATCAAACTGGAATTGATCTCATTTGCTTATTATTATTTTTACTATTTCATTCATCTTCAATTATGCGTTTTACTTTACCAGTCCAAGGAATAAACATAATAATTAGGGATAGCACTAGCGGGAGGGATGGGGGTGAGAGCAAAAGTGATATCCTCCTAGCGGTCATCAAGAAGGCCCCCCTATAGTCTGGTCAAAAAAATGTACGCAATTAACCAATGTTAAACAGCGGCGAATGTGGCTGAATATTCCAACCCATATCTGCTAAGTTATTTCACTTACTGACAAGTGGCATGCGATGTTTAAAATATCACCCCCCCCTTTAAAGACCGTAGAACCATCCCTGATAACAATGTCGTCAGAATGTTTTTCAATCCTAAGAGGCCTAACTTTGCCCTTCTTTATGTCTAATATTTGGGATTAAAATCACATTTTCTCATGGATAACTTTTGAAATAATTAGTTCATTGCCAGGTGGTTAGGGCCCCGGCATGGCCAGGTGGTTAGGGCACTCGACTCGCAATCTGCGGGTCGCGAGTTCGAATCCCCGTCACACCAAACATGCTCGCCCTTTCAGCCGTGGGGGCGTTATAACGTCACGGTCAATCCCACTATTCGTTGGTAAAAGAGTAGCCCAAGAGTTGGCGGTGGGTGGTGATAACTAGCTGCCTTCCCGCTAGTCTTACACTGCTAAATTAGGGCCGACTAGCGCAGATAGCCCTCGTGTAGCTTTGCGCGAAATTAAAAAACAGACAAACAAACATTATTATCTTGCATTAATGAGACAAGAAACGTAGATCTTCGAATCCACACTCCGGCACGCTACCACTGAGCCACACCTGCTCCAACAAGCAGGGAAAATATTTGATATTTATAAATCCAATGTGAACACGTATCGTTAAATAGAAATACATAAAAGAGATGGCTGGACACGAATATAAAACTCTTGTTTTACTAGAAACAGATTAGGAAATTTGGAATATCACGTTGTTGGTTACCTCAAGTAATCTTATTTGTAACATAAACTACTTATATACTGTTGAAGTTACGTATGAGTTACAGTCAGATTCGTGTATGTACTGTGTTTTTTTGTTGTTGTTGCTTTAAACATAGTTCTATACAGAGCTCATAACAAATAAAGGTATCGATCCGGAACCCCCCCTCTCCCCACAAGAAGCCTTCACGACACGAGAAGCCTTCACCAGTTCTGTCCTTGTTATTAACATTTAGCAGTTCGTTGTTTTAGTATTACCCCTTCCTCTGACTTTGGTAGTAAGCCTAGCTTCACCTTTGTAGTCTGCCTTCATGTGCACGTTAATAGTTATCGGTTCGTTGTTTTAGTATTACCCCTTCCTCTGACTTTGGTAGTAAGCCTAGCTTCACCTTTGTAGCCTGCCTTCATGTGCACGTTAATAGTTATCGGTTCGTTGTTTTAGTATTACCCCTTCCTCTGACTTTGGTAGTAAGCCTAGCTTCACCTTTGTAGCCTGCCTTCATGTGTTCCGCTCACAAATCGATTGCTCATACTTATATAACTTGAATCATTCTTCCACGTTAGTGTTAATGTGAAACCATAGAGGGCTGTTATTGGACCGCAGTCAACACTTCGAAACTTGGCGACTTACCACAAATTACCGTGACACAAATTAAGCAAGCTTTCTCTTATTGGACGGTCGCGTGACGGTCTCCAGCTGACGATATTCCGCGCGTTAAGCCGTCGTAGATCGTGCTTACATCACTAGACACAATAGTATGGATTACCAATGAATATTTAATCAGTTTATCAGTTATAAGCGATTGGTCATTCGCCCGACCGCTATAATAAAAGTATAACAACAAAATTTGACTGTCATAAATATCGCTTTACA